CTGCAGGGTCTCCTGGATCCTGACAGCCCCCCGATTGATCCCCCCGGATGGCAGCCTGTGGCAAGTGCAGCCGGGCTGATGGCCGAGTGCTGTGATGTGCCGAGCGCGGCACTCAGTAGTAGTCCAACTACTACTCCAAGCCAGGACTGCTTGCTGTCCCTCATTGAGGTAGACAAGCAAGCGGGGAACCCTGAGAACTGTCTGTCCGGGGTGGGGGTTGGGTCCCTTTAAGCACAGCCCTCTGCTAGCCTGAGACAGCAGCTCCACACTCTAAGTCCTAACCTGAGGGCCTGCCGGCACTGCTTCCGGCCAGCCTTAACTTTGGTTCAGGGTCCACTCAGTGTGGACCTGCTATTTCGAATTAGCAAAATGCTAATTCCAATGAGTTTTGAGGTCCAGATGCACTAGTTCAAATTAGCTTAGTTCGAATTAACTAATTCGAATTAAGTTAGTTCGAATTAGTGCTGATGTGTAGACATACCCTCTGGCAGCCTATAATGGGAAAATAAAACTACATACCCACCAGGGGATGTCTGTGGACTGGCTACCCCTACATTCTGGGCTGGGCCCCTTTTTCAACCTGCCTTTTTGCAGGCAGCTTTCCCCCCCTTCACCTCAGCTATTTGCTGAGGGTGCTGAGTGCAGAGGGGCCCTGCCTTGGGTTGGGGTGGGGGAGCCCCCTCCCATTTTCTTGGGGGGTGTCTATTTTACCCCCTTTTTTCTCCACCTTGGGAGGCCTGACCTTCACCTTTCCTGCTGCTGCTGCTCTCCCTGAAACAGAGACAGTAAGGGGGCTGCTTTAAAGGAGCCCTTGGGGTTTCTTTCTCCCCACCGCCTGCTTTGTGCTGGGGGAAGATTAGGAGCCCTTTCTGTCAGGGTTCCTGGATGGGTGCTGGTGCAGCTCTTCTGGGGTGCTGAGGGCAGGGGGTGGTTTACCTCCCCCTGGTTCATCAGCCCTCACACTTCTGCTGCTGCTCCTCCCTCTCCAAGGCCCAGTTGCTGTAGAGCCCTTTCCACGCTCGGCCCCACTGCTTGTCTCCTTCCCATTCTCTGCTCTTCTACCTTTCCTGCTGCTGTTGCTCTCCCCGAAACAGACACGGTAAGGGGGCTGCTTTAAAATAGCCCCTGGGGTTTCTTTCTCCCCACAGCCTGCCTTGTGCTGGGGGGCAGATTAAGGGCCCTTTCCATCAGGATGCCTGGGTGGGGGCTGGTGCAGCTCTTTTGGGGTGCTGAGGGCAGGGGGTGGTTTACCTCCCCCTGGTTCATCGGCCCTCACATGTCTGCTGCTGCTCCCTCTCCAAGCCCCAATTGCTGTAGAGGCCTTTCAACTCTTGGCCCTACTGCTTGTCTCCTTACTTTTCTCAGGTACTGTGGGCCTGCTGCTCAGGTACACTGTTTTCCTCCCCCTCCAGCCCAGCCGTGTATCCTCCCTTCCCCCCTCCTCCTACCCTTGAACAGGCATCTTTTCACTGCCTTCCTTCCCAATCCACTGCTTGTCCCATCCACCATTTTGGATGCCAATGCCTCCCCCCTGATTCTTAGGCACTTGAGCTTCCCCCTTCTTTTTTAGTTACTCTCCCCACACACACAGCTTCACTTGTCCCCATGTTCTTTAAATAATTATTTACCCCTTATCTCCCCAGTGCAGCCGCTCTCTCAATCCTGTACTGGAAGCTGTATTCCTTACTCCCTTTTCCTTTTCCCCTTTCTGAATTATTGCCCTCCCACCCCACTTCCAGCCTAGTGGGAGTGTGGGAGAGCGGTAAACCTCCTTCCTCCCCTCCCTTTCACTCATTGTTCCCTCCTCTGGTGTTTTTGGTTCTCCCTTAACTGTTTGTTTTGTCTTTCCCTCCCCACCCATGACCACAATGGAGGGGTTGTCCGGTGACACCCCTGCCAAACCGTCCCCACCCCTCCCTAAAAACAACTCCGCTGAGGCTGCCGGGGCCCCCATCACTACGGTAAGGGGGGAGGACATGAACTAGAGGACACCAAATGAAATTAATGGATAGCAGGTTTAAAACTAATAAAAGAAAGTTCTTCTTCACATAATGTGTAGTCAACCTGTGGAACTCCTTGCCAGAGGAGGCTGTGAAGGCTAGGACTATAACAGAGTTTAAAGAGAAGCTAGATAATTTCATGGAGGTTAGGTCCATAAAAGGCTATTAGCCAGGGGATAGAAATGGTGTCCCCGGCCTCTGTTTGTCAGAGGCTGGAGAAGGATGGCAGGAGACAAATCACTTGATCATTGTCTTCAGTCCACCCTCTCTGGGGCACCTGGTTCTGGCCACTGTCGGCAGACAGGATACTGGGCTAGATGGACCTTTGGTCTGACCCAGTACGGCCATTCTTATGTTCTTATGTTCCAATCACCATTAAAGAGCATTCCTTGAAGGGTAGGAAGGGCCTGGAGACCAAGAAGGGCAAGAGCCCCACCCGGAAGGCAAAACCTTCTGAGGAGAGGGCTCACTCCCTGGCAGCAGCCCATATGCTGGCCACGGCCCCCCCTCCTTCCCGGTCCCCTGTTCCTTCCACCAGCTCTGGGGGTGATGGTGTCCCAGGCCCCAGGGCATATGTTCAGGTAGCTGCCACCCCCAAGCCACCTCCTGGAATTACATCTCCAGCGTCTGTGGCCCCTTTCCCACTCTGACCAGGAGGCACGGGGTCCGTTGTCTCTTGGTGGCGGCCTCGCCCCACATGGAGACCTACATGCAGGCATTGGCATGCGTGGTGGGGCCCATGGCCATGGTGGTGGCCTCTAAGATGTTCAGGAAGGTGGTATTCTTCCTGGTGTCTGAGGCCGCCACCTAGGAGGTGGTGGAAAGGGGTTTGGCGGTGGGGGGAGTCCAGGTTCCCCTCGAGCCTTTGGAGGATCTGGGCGTACAGGTGGTTTTGTCCTCAGTTCCTCCCTTCCTCCCCAATGCCGCCCTATTGCCTTTCCTCTCCACCCTGGAGAGGCCTCTGTCAGTCCTGAGTCCCCTTCCTCTGGGCTGTAAAACCCTATCCTCCGCCACGTCCTTTCCTTTCGCCAGCAGGTACAAATCCAACTACTGCTGGCGGGATATGGCGGAGAAGCCCTCGAAGGGTCATTTCTGGTGCCCCATCAAGGGGCCCGGTACCGGGTGTACTACACCATGGGGGAAGCCTGGTGTTTTCTTTGTAGCGCGATGGGGCATGTCTGAAGGGACTGCCCCTCTGGCCTGGTTTGGAGAGGCACCGCACCCAGGACCCCCGATGCCTGGGAGGGCACCAGCTGTACCATCGGCAGGACCTGCCTCAGGGGGAGGTGTCCCTTTCCTCTGTTGCCCAGCCTCCATCTTCATCAAGGGGCCCGGTACCGGGTGTACTACACCATGGGGGAAGCCTGGTGTTTTCTTTGTAGCGCATCCAAAGGGACTGCCCTCTAGCCCAGCAAAGCACTCAGGACCCCTGAGGCCCAGGAGGGCACTATCCCTACCATAGCCAGTGGCCCTGACAGTCCGGACCCTGGGGTCGCCCCTCCTCCATCCGTGACCGTCGTCAATCCTGCTCGGGCTCCGCAGGGCCCAGATGAGAGTGCAGGTGCTGCTGCTGTCACTGCCAAATCGGCAAGGCCGGGCCTGCGGAGGAGAGGGCGGCGGGGTCAGCGATGGGACTCGGGCAGGACCTGCCTCAGGGGGAGGTGTCCCTTTCCTCTGTTGCCCAGCCTCCATCTTCCCTTGCCCTCCCAACGCTGCCCTTGTCCCCTGGCTTTTCTTCCATTCAGGCCCAGCCCTCTTCCTCTGAGGGATGGGAGCTTGCTATGGGGAGGCGCTGAAAGCGTGCCCGGAGTTCCACCCCACCCACCGAAGAGGAGGACAACCTCCCCATACTTATGGGGGTGGACGCTGGAGCCGTTCTACCCTCTGAGCCCCCAAACACTTCACAGCACCATGAAGTGGTTGAGGTGACCGCGGCGGTTGCGGGAGAGGTGAACACCTCCCTCCTGGGGTCCCTGGAAGAGGGGGCGTCCATGGAGGATGCTCCCACCGTTCCCACCTCCACTGAGGGGGCAGCTGCTGACCTTGCTACTGACAAAGATCACCACCTGGTGGCGGGCAGCAGGCTCGCCTTCCTCTCTCAGGAGGTGGAGGCTTTGGGGCTGACCCCGGCTGCCTCAGAGGGAGATCATCATGTCCTGGAGGGACAACAACAGACCTCTCCTTCCCCTTCCAACCTGCTGCTATCCCTTCTCTCTGCCTCTGAGTTGTCCCAGGGTGCGACCATCTGCCCGGCCATCAGCAGCACTTTGGCCACGGCTGCTGAAACCCTGGAGGCTCTCAGCGGGCAGGAGTTACCATTACTGTCCATCATCCCTGGCGCTGAGGCCTCTGGTGCTGCACTCTCTGTGGCACTGGAGCCCAGCTCTGGGGAGACCATGACCACCCCTACCGCTGCCACCGATTCACTGCCCTGTGAGGAGGCACCGCTTCCCAGCACCTCCTCTGCTGAGGCTTCTTGCCCTGCTCCCTCTCAGCCTCTGCTCCACTCCTGCTACCTGTTCAAAACCCCTCCCAATTGAGCTTCCCACCCCTCCTCCTGCTCCCCCCCGTCCTTGTCTTTTCCCTAATCCCTCACCTCTTCCTCCCCCTACTCCCCTTCCTCGTCTCCCTCCTTTTCCTGATCCCCTCCCTGAACTCTTTTCCTCGCCTTACTCTGTTACTGCCGCCACTGGGGTTTCCACGTTGAGCCCAGACGTTGGCCTCTGCCCAGACGTTGGCCCCCAGGAGGTGGTTTTCACTTTTCCTGCTCCCAGCACATCTGGGGCTGATCTCCCTCTGCCACTGTCCTCCCAGCAGGGACCTCATGTTGATTGGTCACGGGGCTCACAAAGGGGTCTGGCCCCAAGGCATTCAAGGGCCTGAGGCCCTGACACCAGATGCACTGAAGGGCAAGATGCGTGCTCTCTTGGAAGACATCCGTGGCTCCAAGAACAAAGTCGCTCTCGCCCTTCAGTGCTGGGGAGATTTCCATCTTGTTTTACGAACAGTAAGGGCCCTCTTGGGGGAGGGTAAAGGGACCAGGTGGTGTGAGGCTACAGCTTACCAGCGGGTCCGCAGCTTCCATGAAAACCTGCTCACTTTTGGGTACAGTCAAAGTTTTGCTGAGGGGCCCAATGGGGACTACTAACACTCCTGCCAGCGAAGATCTTCCCCCACCCTCTCGATGCCGCCATTCATCCTTACCACTCTAAACACCCAGGGCTGCGGGTCAGGTCTCCGTAGGTGTCGGGTACTCTCCTTCATTTGGGGGGGGTACTCTGTCATGTTCCTACAGGAAACCCATATGACTCTGGCCCCGGAGCTAGCTGGCAGCTGGAGTGGGGGGACAGGGTTTATTTTAGCCACCTGTTGGCCCATCAAGACGGGATGGCACCCTGTTCTCCCCGAACCTGCAGCCCGAGGTACTTGAGATTGCCGAGGCTGTGCAGGGTCGCCTGCGGCATATCCGGGTTTGGATGGAGGGGCTGACTTTAAATCTCATTAACATCTATGCCCCGACGTCCAGCCCGGAGAGGCTATGCTTCTATCAGCGGGCGTCTGCCTTCCTCGGCTCCTTGGATCCTCGCGAGTGCCTGGTCCTGGGCAGGGACTTCAACTGCACCCTCAAGGAGCGGGACCGTACGGGGCTCAAGCAGTGCCTGGCCGCCATGGACGTCCTCAGGGAGATAATAGACCATAACTCCCTGGTGAATGTCTGGCAAGACCTTTACCTGGGCGAGGAAATGGTGTTTACCTACGTCCAGATGGTGGGTCATTGGTCTTTCCACTCCCGGTGGTACCGCATTTATCTTCCCATCATTTCTTCCGGGCCCTCTCCTCCAGCATTCGGCCAGCCCCTTTCACGGACCATCACTTGGTGGCCATGATGGCCTCTCTTTCCTCAGAGAGGCCGGGGCCGGCCTACTCGCATTTCAATAACAGCCTGCTGGAGGATGTGGGCTTTGCAGCATCCTTCCGGGAGTTCTGGCTGGCCTGGTGCGGGCGGCAGTGTGCCTTTCCCTTGGCGCAGCAGTGGTGGGATGTAGGGAAGATGAACATATGGCTCTTCTGCCGTGACTACACCCGGGGGAGAGGGGTCAGCCGGCGGAGGGATGCAGCGATAGAACAGTTGGAACGGGAGGTTTTAGAGCTAGAGAGGCAGCTGGCCCCCGGTCCCGAGGATCCGCCCCTCTGCGGAGAGTACTGGGAGAAGCAGGAGGAACTCCGGACCCCCAAGGACCTTTGGGCCCAGGGTGCCTTTGTTTGTTCTTGCATCCATCTCCTTTGGGAGATGGATTGAGGCTCCTGCTTCTTCTATGCCCTGGAAAAAAAGAAGGGGGCTAAAAAGCACATCATCTGCCTTCTGGCAGAGGATGGCACCCTCCTCATGGATCCAGTGGAGATGCATGAGAGGGCTTGTGCCTTCTACGCGTCTCTCTTCTCCCTGGAGTCATGTATGGGATAATACAGACACAATTATGTGCATGTATTGTGTAAAAAGAGAAGCATCTCCATTTGTTACAACTATCTGCAAAGTGGAAGAGTTTTAGTGCATTACTACCAGTTCCTCTTTAATTTATTATTCAGAGTTCCTGGAGCCTGAAGGGGCCTATTAACAGGAACTGACTTTTATTCCACAGATCTATAATAATTTAATCATTAAAGCAAGTCAAGAGCTAATATAATGAAATAATGTTCAAATCACCTTTGATCATCCATTAAAAATCATAAGGGAAGGAGTTGAATGGGAGTAGGGGAGGTGTTTCTACCACAAAGAGAAAGCAGCCTTTATGAACAGAACAAAAGCTAAGAAATAGCAGCCCAATGTTTTTCTTTATTAATATCCATCTCTTCCAAACCAGGATTTTCACAAGGATATTTTTTGTCAGTTTTACAAGAAAGCAGGTATAGAAAAGGGTGAAAGAAAGTCAACAAAATAAATAAATACTGAGCGCATCCACTTTCTTTGGAAGCCGCAGGGATAGCTGAATCTATAATAGCACACCTTTCAGGAACAGCCAAATGGAAAAGGCATATATATTTAAACAATCATTTTTTACTGCTGCACCAAATTAGAAACAGCTTCATGCCCTCCACACTAAAGAACTGATTCTAGCCGCAACGTTATACCCACCATTATCTGCCTAATGCCAAGCTTTTCCCCCTTTTTATTTGTATATTAAGGGCTCTGAGGCATGTTATCTCCCATGCCTACCAATCTCGTTAGGCCTGGCAACCTCGGTCCCTCTGTAGTCTTTGGCCCAACTCTTCATACAGAGTAGCTGTTCCACCATATTATGTTTCATCACATCACTCCCTGCCTGCTCATGTAAGATGCAGTTGAGAAATGAAGCAAATTCAGAATCTGTAACATTGTGCCTAATTTAGCTGATAGTGGTACTAAAGCATGGCATTAATTGGAACCTTTCACCAACGCTTCTGCTTATGCTGGGCAAAGAGTAATTTCTGCTGTAGCTAGTGCATAGCACCATTTGGAAGACCATAGGTTACCCCTGTTCAAAACTGTAGTCTAGATCTTCTGCTGGTACACACAGATTTGGTTCCACTGAAAAGGAGTTATATCAGCTGAAAAGGCCTTTGGATACAAAGCACAGACCCCTTACTACATCCATCATTTTACATGAACTTTTTGACAAATATAAAGCTAGATATTTTGGGACAGGTATCCCAAAATGAGACTGAGATGAAAGGTCTCAGTCAAAATGTAGTTAATAAATTGCCATATATTTGTGATCTATTTTGTTTTTCTTGTCACTTCTCATCAACTATGTAAACTATGAAAGACTACCTTGCTCCCGGCCAGATAGACGGCAACTCACCTTTCACAGAGTGAAGTGTATTTAGATGCCTCTTTCTTTACAAGAAGTTCTCAAAACGTAAATATCTAGCTAAATAAAACAGGTCCTCAGCATGGGAAACCTAGAAATATAATAATTACCATTGATTAGCTTCTTGTTGTGACTGGATTTAGAATGAGCAAAAGAAAAATAATGTTTGCAACACTATTTACCCCACTAATTTCTAATGTAAGGTGAGTTACCTGGTGAATAAGGGTGGTGAAAGGGTCAATGATTTTAATATTGTAATTGTAATTAGAAATGATCCTGTACAGCTCAGAATCCAAACCAGTATCCAGATCCTAATTTTGCATTTAGGCCATCTAAATAGGCTGAACCTACACTCCAGTCTGAGCATGTCTTAATTTTGACATATTTGAAACTCCAGATGTGAAGGAAACGGACTCTTGCAAAATCTGGGGCTCATTCTCCACTCACACCAGCTTTATGTCAATATAGGTACAATCCCATTGACTTCTGTGATTTATATCTCTGAGTTCATAAATAGAGTTCATGGTTCTAAGGAATGGTAGAAGGGAGAACAGCATAATAGATAATGGATTTCAGGAAAGCAGACATTAGCAAACTCTGACGGCGGGTAAATAAGGTCCCCTGGGAAGCAAGATGGAGAGGAAAAACTACTGAATGCAGTTGGCAGTTTTTCAAAGGGACATTATTAAGGGCCCTAGAGCAAACTATTCCACTGCGTAGGAAAGATGGGGAGTAGGGCAAGAGACCACTTTGGCTTAACCAGGAGATCTTAAATGATCTTAAAAAAAAAAGAGTAATATAAAAAGTGGAAACTAGGTTAGATAACGAAGAATGAATATAAGCAAAGTATGTAGGGGCAAGAGTAGAAAGGTGAAGGCACAAAACGAGCTCAATCTAGCTAGAGGTTAACAAGGGTAACAAGGAAACAGTCTACAAATATATTATAAGCATGAGGAAAATGAAGGGTATCATATATTGTGCCTATGCTTAGGAATGTATGTGTTTTATGCAAAGGATAATTTAGTAGGTACGTACGTGCAAAGAAATCTGTTGAGCTCACTCCCTCTTCCCCTTGAGTAGCTGTCAAGGCTGTTCCCCTCTGGCACGATGAATACAGAAGTGTGGGGGGAGGGGCCTTCAAAAGCAACCCAAAACCTGATCGCTACAGGCTTTGGTACAAAAACTCCCCCCAAAATCCTAATTCCCAGATTTTGGGGAATCCGTTGCCACCATCAAGTACTTTTGAACCCACAAACGGGGGTGGACACTTGAAACCAACCCCAGGGAACCCCAAGCTCTTTTCTCCAAAGAGCTTGAAAAGAAAAGAAAAAATACAAGTTGCAGTGTATGATTACTGTCCCCTCGTCAGAGGTATGCAGATTCCACAGACAGATTTTCCAGGACACAGAAATGAACCAATACCAGGTTAATTAAAAAAAGACCTTTTATTATTAAATCAATACCCCAGTTACAAGCATAGTTGGAATGGCTATATGGTAAGAGCCACCAATTAATATACTCATGGAGGATTCCCATGGCCTCAGGACTTAGTTGCAAAAGAGAGGAAAACCCATTTCTAATAGCACAGACATCAGATCCAAATTCCCAAACCAGAAAACAATAAAACCAGACGGATTTATCTAGACTTTACCCTGCTTACACATTAAGAGTCTCTTTCTTGGGGTATGTCTAGACTACATGGCTCCGTCGACAGAGCCATGTAGATTAGTGTACTCGAAAAAGGGAAACGAAGCGACGATTTAAATAATTGCCGCTTCATTTACATCAAAATGGCAGCTTCGCTATGCCAATCAGCTGTTTGGCAGCACAGTGTGGTAGTCTGGATGCTCCGCAGTCAACAAGGGAAACCTCATTCCAAAAGGCATAACGGGGCGGTTGACAAGGGCTTTCCTTGTCAACTGCGTAGCGTCCAGATTACCACACTGTGCCACCAAATAGCTGATCGGCTCAGCGCGGCAGCCATTTTGATGTAAATGAAGCTGCGATTATTTAAATCACCGCTTCATTTCCCTATGTCTAGAAACCTAATCTACATAGCTCCGTCGACGGAGCCATTTAGTCTAGACATACCCTTGGAGAGAGACATATCTTCTGTCTCCCTCAGTATCTAGAGAGCAAACTGGCCCAGAGACAAAGGAGGGAAACCTTCAAAATTCCTTTGTCTCAGTTTGAAATCCTTAGCTGCATTTCTATTGGCTGAGCAGATACCTGGCTAGGTATAGGGACATAGTTAACCCTTTAGTCCCCAGGTTGCTGGCCAACCCTCCTGGTTATGACAGTAGTTAATCAGTTTCTGGACCATCTTCTCTTTGTTCTCGAAGAGCATCCGAGGGGATGGCTAGCTCAGCAGATTGAGGGGCAAGGTACAAGTATGTGGTAACAGGTTTATCTATAGGGCCACAGGGATGTGGTAAACAGGTTTATCTATGGGAATGTTAAACATGATTGGTTATGCTGAGTGTAAAGAATGTGATAAGATTGGACAAAGGTTCATGTGGAGCAACCACTTGAAGCTATAAAATACTGAGGAGGGGACTTGCCCCTTTGAGAAAGCCTGTACCGGGGTTCTCTCCCTTTGTGCATATCGAATAGAGCTTTAAAATTGAATGGTGCATCAGACTCTTGATTCTGCTAGACACCTGACTCATATGGTTATCATTGGGTACCACAAAAATCCCAGCAAAAAACCAAGGACAGGGTAGACCCGTTGCTTAATGAAGAGGGAGCCCTAGTTCAAACTAGGGAGGCTAATGTAGGCATTTGAAGTTGCAAATGAAGGCCAAGATTTAAATATCCCGGGCTTCATTTGCATCTTCCCGTCCGGATGCCATTTTTAAATCCCCTTAGTCCGAACTAACTGCCCGCGGTTACATGCGGTAGTCAAACGTTAACTCGAACTAAGGACTTAGTTCAAGTTAACGTTTGACTACCGCGTGTAGCTGCAGGCAGTTAGTTCAGACTAAGGGGATTTAAAAATGGCATCCGGACGGGAAGATGCAAATGAAGCCCGGGATATTTAAATCTTGGCCTTCATTTGCAACTTCAAATGCCTACATTAGCCTCCCTAGTTTGAACTAGGGGGCTAGTGTAGACATACCCTAACATAACTTGAAAGTGGCAGAGATGCTTAACAATTTCTTTGTTTTGGTTTTCACCAAGAAGGTGGGTGGTGACTGGATGCCTAACATAGTGAATGCTAGTGGAAATGGAGTAAGTTTAGAATTTAAAATAAGAAAAAAACATGTTAAAAATTACTTGGAAAAGTTAGTTGTCTTCAGGTCACTGGGGCCTGATGAAATGCATTCTCGAGTATTCACTCAAGGAGCTGATAGAGAAGAGCCATTATCTTTGAAAAGTCATGGAGGTTTGGAGAGATTCCAGAAGACTGGAAAAAGGGCAAATATAATGCCCATCTATAAAAAGGGAAATAAGAGCAACTCAGGAAACTACAGACCAGTCGGCTTAAGTTCTGTGCCAGGAAAGATAACGGAGCAAATAATTTGTTCTTAACAAATCCATGTTGGCTATTACTTATGTAACCCTTCTGCCAGGTAGACCTGGCAGTAACCAGGGCTGGGTTCAATATCTTGGAGTCCATCTCACACAGAACCGGCTTGAGCTCCCACCCAGTAATTTGGGAAATTCACACACCCCTGGGTGTCTCTGAGAGGCAATGCTGCCCCACTCACAAGCACTGAGTCTGAGTGTAGGAAATAAACATTTAATGAAACAGTGAGGCTACATCTACATTGGCAAGATTTTGCGCAAAAGCATTTGCTTTTGCGAAAAAATTGCCACCTGTCTACACTGGCAGGGAGTTCTTGCACAAGAACACTGACATTCTAATGTAAGAAATCAGTGCTTCTTGCGCAAGAACTATGACGCACCCGGTCAGGAATAAGCCCTCTTACACAACTGTTCTTGCACAAGAGGCCAGTGCAGACAGGCAACATGAATTTCTTGCGCAAGAAATTCATGTTGCCTGTCTGCACTGGCCTCTTGTGCAAGAACAGTTGTGTAAGAGGGCTTATTCCTGACCGGGTGCGTCATAGTTCTTGCGCAAGAAGCACTGATTTCTTACATTAGAATGTCAGTGTTCTTGTGCAAGAACTCCCTGCCAGTGTAGACAGGTGGCAATTTTTTCGCAAAAGCAAATGCTTTTGCGCAAAATCTTGCCAATGTACACAGCCAGAGAAGTCATACAGCATTAACTTGGGGAAAACATCACAAACAGAGTTCATAACCCAAACATGAGCTGAGCTGAGCCACCCCCCCACACCCACAAATATCACCCATACCC